GTCTCTTTGGACAATGTTGAGCAGTGTGCTTAGGTTCTCCGCAATATAAACATAATCCTTCTTGACGACGACGAATCTTTTCTTGCTCAGTTAGGGGTTTAAAACGTACCGCGTCAATTTGCATGTCTTCTACTTCCGAATGTACGTTTGGCGAAGATGTTGATGTTGTCATTGAGTAATAACGTTGAGGTTCCCGTGAATGATTCTCGGATCGAAATTCGAAAAGTCGATTATCACATTTTACCGCAAAATCGATTGCTTGACTCAAAGTTTGAGGATCAGGTAAGTTGAGCATCAATTTCTTTACTTCGTATTGCAATCCATAAAGAAATTGACTCATGAGTGCAGCATCATCCCACTTGATGTCAATAGCAAGTTGTCGAAATTGTGAAGCATACACTGTTACTGAGCGATTTCCTTGTCGCAGAATTCGGATCTTATTTGTTGCAACACGAGTTGCATCGTGTTCACCATACATAGATCGAAACTCCGCCAAAAAAGCTTCCAAATTGTCCAATATTGGATTTCGTTGTTCAAGAAAAGATGAAAACCACGATAATGCAGAACCAGAAAGTAGAGTGCCAATAAACCTGACTTGTGATCCTGGAGTTGGATAGCTTTGCGGTTGAAGTTCAATTGCCAATTGTACTTGATTGATGAACCCTCGAAACTTTGATCTCGTATCATCAAATTTCTCAGGTAAGGTAATTCTTGGTTCTCTAGTGCTTATAGGGTGTTGTACAATTGGAGAAGGAACGTGATTTATTGTAGATGTTGAAGCAGCTCCGATCATCTCTATATCCCCACTTTCTGCTATTCTTGTTCTTTCCTGTGTTGGTGAATTGAGTTGATGCTTCGCAAGCATTAACTCCCTCATTTGCTCTTGCATTTGTGCCATTGCACTCTTCATTTCAACAAGCTCTGCCATAATGACACTAAGAAGAAAAATTTGTTTGATATTGCTCAAGACAAAGGAAAAGAAAGACTTGATAACAAAGAAGATACTAAGAACAATATCAGTTTAGAAGTGGGTAATCCGCAAACTTCTAATACGCTTATGTCTTGTCAAGAGAAAGGGGTAATCCACTCTTACTCAAGAAAAAACAAAGCTTTGATATTGTAAGTGTACTCTTGTCAATCTGTCAAGGACAAAGACTCGATGAGGGAAAATATACACAAAAAGGCTATCTCGATATAATAAGTCAAAATATAAAGAAGTAGGTATATTAAAAGGAAACTGGAATGGCTATTGCCACAAGACAAGAAACTAAAGACTCTTGAACCTGGACTAGAAGCAAGAAAGGAGTTGACAAGAGTGAAGAAGCCTTCACTCTTGTCTCTATATATACTATCTAACTAGGGGCTACGTGGCAACGTTCTATAGGACCTCGAATATGTGTTGACTTTGTAGGACACATGCCTTGACTTACAAGGCAAGTTTTTCTACGTGTGGACCACATAGTTAGCTTGATCTTCAAGCTAACAACATGTGTGGCACATGGCCAACTTGTTGACCACGTTTCTAATCCAAAAAGTCAATTAAAGACACCTATGAAGTCAAAGCAACGTCTAAGAAGTTTTTAGGAAGCTTCTATATTAAATATTATAGAATTAACTTACTTTTATCTACTTTTACTTACTTCTATTTATTTCTATATGTAATTATTAGCTTACATGATTATGGCCGTGACAACCTCCTCCTATAGAAGTGGACAATATTGAAGAGTTTGATGTAGAAGAAGTTTTAGATTCAAGGCGACGATGAAATAAATTAGAATATCTTGTCGATTGGCATGGATATGATATTAGTAAACGTACATGGGAGCCAATAAAGAATCTTATAAATACAGTGAAGGCGATAGAGGCTTTTTATCAACGACATCCATCAAAAACAAGATAAAAACCTTCTTTATAAAAGAAACAAGATCTAGGCAAGATAACATTCTACTTTCAATCTTTGTTTGTAGCTTCTTTGTAGTTGTGACGTTGAAGAGATGGAGAACCAACAACCATCGGATTCGACTCAAGAACCTTTGTTTGATGACCTACCGAATGAGACATTACGATTGTTACAACCTTCAAGATGATGCAATTGAGATGAAGATCTTCAAAAATAATATGTTCTTCCTCAAATAGATGGCCAGATACAATGCATTTGGTATCACAACCTTAGAAGGGACTCCCGATGTTTGGTGATTTTACTAGAGGTAGGAACAACTCTTGATGGTGTTTCAAATATTTTATTCGAAAGAAGTCATGAAGGCCTCAACAACGATCAAATAACTAGTTGGTCTTTCCGCTCTAGTATGGGACATTATTGATGATTGAGAGGCCCTATCAATCATCTTCGAAGAAAATAAAGATCAGAGTATGTGGCAAATACAATTCGTTGCATCATAGATTTCTTCAATATATGATCACTGCTTCTCATGGAACTCGTCTCTAGAAGGAAGATAATGTCACAAACATACACATGTAAGCTAGTAATTACATGTATAAATAATTAGAAGTAAGTAAAAATAGATAAAAATAAGTTAATTTTATAATATTTATTATAGTAGCTTCCTAGAAGCTTCATAGTTGCTATTTTGACTTTATAGGTGTCTTTAATTGACTTTTTGGATTAAAAACATTGTCAACAAGTTGGCCATGTGCCACACATGTTGTTAGCTTGAAGACTAAGCTTACTATGTGGCCCACATGTAGAAAAACTTACCTTGTAAGTCAAGGCATGTGTCCTACAAAGTCAACACATATTGGAGGTCCTATAGAACATCACCACATAACCCCTAGTTAGATAGTATATATAGAGAGAAGAGTGAAGCCTTCTTCACTCTTGTCAACTCGTTTCTTGCTTCTAGTCTAGTTTCAAGGGCCTCTAGTTTTCTTGTCTTTTGGCAATATCCATTCTAATTTCTTTGTTAATATACATATTGAGTTATTTCTATTCTGTCATCTTTCTTTGAGAAAAGACTTACTTGTTTATTTGTTTTTATGAAGTTCTTGTCTTTGACGCAAGTTAGCCATGTGCTTCACATGTTGGTAGCTTGAAGAACAAGCAAACTTTGTAGTGCACACATAGAAAACTTGCCTTGTAAGTTAAGGCATGTGTCTTATATAGTCAATTCATATTACAGGTCCAATAGAACATTGCCATATAGCTACTAATTAGATAGTATATATAGAGGTACGAATGAAGCCTTCTTCACTCTTGTCAACCCTTTTCTTACTTCTAGTTTAGATTCAAGAGTCTCTAATTTCTTTGTTTTTTGGCAATAGCCATTCCAATTCTTTTTTAATATATTTATTTCTTTATTTTCATTTTTTTATACTTATTTATTTACTTTCATCAAGTTCTTGTCCCTTTTACTAAAAATTATGTGGCAACATTTTATAAGAGCACCTACCCATGTCGAATTCATAAAGCATGTGTCTTAATTTGCAAGGCAAATTTTCTATATGTAGGCTACATGGTTAATATCATTATTTAATTTAGAATCATAATTATAATTAAAAATATACTAATTAAAAATTAAGTAAAAATTTAAATTATTTATTTTAAAAGAATTTTTAATCAAGTAATTAAAATAATAATAATTTTTTTTATTAAATAAATAATATATATATATATATATATATATATATTTAATAATAAGTTTGATATGATAAGAAATCTATATATTATTTATTTATTTCAGAAAGTGATAACAATTTAAGTAAAAAAATATTTTATTTTATTTTTAAAATAATATTTTATTTTATTTTTAAAATAATATAAGTATTTAATTTTAAAATTATACAAATATATATATATTTATGTATATGTATAGAATATTATATTGATAAGATCTTCTATAATACTTTGTAAGGAAATAATTTTTTATTTGTTGAATTTATTTTTTTAAAAAAATAGTAATTTTATTTTATTAAAAATACACTTTTCAATATATTTTATATATTTAGAATTATATATATTTAGAATTAAAATATATTTATAATCAATTATGTAATTTTATCATTAAAATTTTTTAAAAAAAATTTTACAACAATTACCTATTTGTTTTTAAATGATGTCACTTTTTGATAATTTGGTATAAAACTTGTATATTTGTAGTTTTCAATTACTTAAAAGATGGTTTAGAAGAGACATGTCTATTCTTTAAAAAAATTAAATATGGCATCTTTTTATTTAAATAATAGTGCCATTAATTTATATATTTTTAATAATATAATGATATGTTGCAATATTATTATTAATAAGATATTTTGGAAGTATAAATTTTTATAAATCTTACAAATAGGTTTATGATTATTCTTTTAGATTATTCCATCTTAGAATTGTCTATATTTAATGTCAAAAAAATTATGTTAATGGTCACTCTGTTGATTAATTGAAAGAAAAGAAAAAAAAAATAAAAATAAAAAAAAATCCCTATTTATTATCTTTGAACACAATGGGTGTTGTGCTTATTATTGTTAGATTTTATTCTTGTTTAATTTTAGTGAAATATGAAAGATTTAGTATTGAACTTGTAGATAAATTTTATAAACACATACATACATACATAGTTTTATTAATGCTTGCACATATCTTGCTATTATCACTTAAATTCATTGTTATGAACTATTCAACTATTTTTTATTAGAATTAAATTAATTTTTTATATAAAATGTAACAAAACAAATATATTACAAGTATTAATTTTTTGAGTTTAACTGGAATAAAAATAACCAAAGAAATATGACAAATGGATAATAGATTGTGGTGCTTATAGCAAAACCTATGATAATAAGTGGAAGTTGACAAATTGTCTTGACACTTTAGATAAAAGTGACTTTTACAATTCTTTCTCTCTATGTATATATAATTTATGCATGTTGGTTTTGATATAAATACAAAATTTTATGTGTTAATTAATGACTAAACAAAAATACATCAAGTGGTTTCATAAAACTTCAATAAATTGTGCATATTGGTGATGTCAATCAAACAACTTATGTTAAATATAGACTCATTTTTAACATTACCCATGATCTCAAAACACAATTCAGTAATACAAAGCTAGGTTTCATATTAAATAATTACACTTTTTAACCAAATTATTCTAATAATAATGTGCTATAGTTACACACATGCATGCATACCATATACACTACCATTATTTCATTATGCCCCTGCAATACCATGCTAGAATTGTTTCAATTCTTTCAACCACAAGTTTAGTTGCTGCTCCCTCTATACAACCAGGAGCTAGCTTAAGTTTAGAGTAAAGCAGCCCAAGTATTAGGGGTTAGGATTCAAACCCTAATTCCGAAATTCCACATGTGTCCACTGCATGAAATCTGTTTCTGAACCAAGAAATTACAACCTGTTGTGAAACATGATCGAGGGAACCCTAAAATGCAACATCACGAGAGGGAAAAACACAAAGCAATGGAAGAAAAAACAAACGAGCCTGAGCTACAACACAAGTCAACAATCCCGAGAAAAGTCTGTCTACACGAGGTTTCGGCAAAACCGAAAACCTATCGGAAAAAAAGAGACTGGAAAACGCGAAAGCCGCAGTTCAAATACAAAGCTCACGAATCCACATGCGGGCAAAAGTGGTCTTTCTTCGCGCGGAGTGTTGCATGAAAACCCTGATCGTAAATAATCCACTGTTTTTGTTCATTGTAGTGTACCTGGCGGACGCAAGCCATGGACGATCACCCAGCCAACAGCCTCCGCAAATCAGTGCCGCTGTCCTTCAGAGTTTAAGCATATGTAATTATCGTGGATAGCAAGATAACCCAGAAAACACCGGCGTTAATTTCATTCTAGTCTGGAAGCATCAGTAATGTGCTTCTGGGTGCAAGCGAAGGACGCCGCAAGGTACAGAGCGCGATGAAAATGCTGACCATCGAGGTCTGGAGGTGCATTGCTTTGGGACATGGACTCGAGCATCCGCAGGCCTTGTTGGGTTACACACTAGTTGCCTAAAAAGCCTTCCTTCCCAGCTCTGTCTGCAACACTGATTTTGGGCAAGCTGGAATGGATGCTTGAGCGAGGTTAATCTAATCCAAGTGGCGCAACTATCACGGGGTCTTCTTCAGCGTGGTCACCCTCCCCCCCCCCCCCCTCATGTGCATTCCAGCTTGGATGCCCATGTCACTTTATGCGCGCGATAGCCCCTAGAATGTGTCATGCTGGAAGATACTGGAATCACGTGGCAGGTTCCTCCTTCCTCTAGCTCTAACGCGACCGCCTCCTCGCAGCTTCGCTTGCAGATTCGCCGACTTTGATTGACTGTTTGTGACTTGATAAAGAAGGCGATTGAACAACCATATAGGTTTTGTTTGATGGTGTAGGAGCAGGAATTTAGAGTGTTTAAACCCTAATTTTCCAGTTTTAAGAATTTTGAGTTCATTTGAAGAGGTTTGTGCTTTGAGAAGGGGGTTTGGTGTTTTAGTCGTGGGGGTACTTCCCGCGTTGAGTATCGTGTGGGAGTGATGGCGTCTTCTGTGAAGTTGGGTAGTCACAATGATTACATATCCCAGTCGCAAGGTTGCGTGGTGACGATGAAAGGGTTTAAGAAGCAGGCGCCTGCTGTCGATTCGCAAGTTCGCATCGTGTCAAAGAAGGAAACCGCAGTGTCCACTGATCCTGTCAAAGTGTCACTGCATGATTGTTTGGCGTGCAGTGGTTGCATCACCACGGCGGAGACTGTGATGCTTGAACAACAGAGCACAGGTTTTGTCTCTAACTTGTTTCTTCAAGTAAAAGTGTTTGCTGGGTTTCCTTTTTCACCCCTCTGGCTGGTAATTTGTGTGTGTGAGTCGAGATCCTCGGGACTGTGTAGTTCCGAGTAATCGGAGTAATAAATAAGTGTTGCCAAATTTGAGTCGTGTTATTAAGTACCTTTTGTGTCTAATTGTGTCTCAATGGATTACCTTCGCGACAAATATATTAGCCTGTAGAACGCAGTTATTTTCATTTTTTAAAAGAAGTATTTCTGAGTCGATAAACTGACTATTGCAGTGCCATTTTTGCAATTGGGTTCCAGTTGTATTCTTACCGCACGGTCTGACGTTTGTAATGTGTCCTTGTGGTGATCACCGTCGAGAACAGGAGAACTGCTGAGCCAATTAAGTGCTAGTAACAAGGCAGTTGTGGTATCATTATCACCACAATCAAGGGCTTCTTTAGCAGCTTATTACGGTTTAACTCCTCTTCAAGCGTTCAAGAAGCTGTCAGGATTTTTGAAGTCTCTTGGTGTGAAGGCAGTGTTTGATACTAGCTGCAGCAGAGACATATCTTTAGTAGAATCGTGTGCTGAGTTTGTGGAAAGATTTAGAGAGAAAAAAAAATTCCCCATTCTGGCATCGTCTTGCCCAGGTATTTCAATTTCTGTATCAATTCTTCACAACTCTGCCGTGACAATAGTGATTAGCGACTTAGTTTGCAATTTCTACTATTTCTTCCTTCTTGAAATCGTGTTGGGTGAAAATTTTGCAGCTATCTGAAGTGAGAATTCATGTACAGGTTGGGTCTGCTATGCGGAAAAAACGCATGGAGATGATGTCCTACCTTACATCAGTGCAGTAAAAAGTCCTCAGCAAGTGATGGGAACCATACTGAAGCGATATGTATGCAAGAGTCTAGGGCTCTTGCCGGAAGATGTTTACCATGTAACTATCATGCCCTGCTATGACAAGAAGCTTGAAGCTGCCCGTGAGGATTTCATTTTTGAAGTTGAAGGGGAAGGGTTAACGGAAGGCAATAAGCCACAGATTACAGAAGTGGATTGCGTACTTACGTCAGGTGAAATATTGGACTTATTACAGACTAGAAACGTAGTTTTTGGGGAACTGGAAGAGGTCCCTTTGGACAGAGTGCTAACAAATGTAGATGAGCGGGAACATTTATATGGAGTATCGGGCGGTTCAGGTGGCTACGCTGAGTGTATCTTTCGATATGCATCTCGTGAGCTATTTGGGAAGGAAATTTCTGGACCTTTACAGTTTAAGACTCTCCGAAATGCGGATTTTCGGGAGATAACGCTTGAAGTTGATGGGAAGCAGGTGTTGAAGTTTGCTCTTGTGTACGGGTTTCGAAATATACAGAACATAGTGCGACAGATCAAAGCTGGAAGGTGTGACTATCATTTTATGGAGGTTATGGCATGCCCATCGGGTTGTCTGAATGGTGGAGGGCAAATTAAACCCAAGAAGGGGCAAACTGCAAAGGAGTTGATTCAGCAGCTTGAGGGTGCTTACTTGAACGATGTAGATGTTAGGGAACCTTTTGAAAATGAGATTGTGAAGGGTCTGTACAAAGAGTGGCTTGGATATCCTAGTTCTGAGAAAGCCTCTCAAATCATGAGAACTCAGTATCATGTTAGAGAGAAGACTGTTGCCAATTTTGTCAGCGACTGGTAGTGAAGGTGAGGGGTCAAAATTTTCTTTCGAATGAGAATGGATCGTTTCCCAGTCCACTTCAGCTGCCGCGATGAAATCAAATGTGTGGGAGGCCTTATCTTGTTTAGGCAACGAGTGCTGGGAGATTATGGTCTTACGCCAGGGTTTTTCCTCCCAGGTGCAGTGCATTATCCACAGTGACTCGTGTAGTTAGTGATGGGCTAGCCTGTGGCTCCGTAGGTGTTTCTACAATGCACGTTCTCTAGGAGATGGAAATTGTTGGTGAATCACCTAGATTTCCGGAGTGCAACCTGTCTTGTAGCATAATGTTGCTTAGGAGTATAAGAATGAGAAGCTGCAACCAAAACATGCAAGCGCCACTGGAGAATCTAGTCTAATGCCATAGTAGAAATTTCACCATTTCTGAGGTTTCAGGCGTGAGTGACCTGAGGACTTTGGGGATGAATTGTGAAAGATTTATCCATCTGAAAATATATTTACTTCCGCTGGATGTACCAGTCATCTGAAATCTGTGCTCCTATTTCATCCTCAACTAATTAGTACGTAGTGAAAGGACTTGGAATTCTATCAGTTATTTTAAGCGAAACCTGCACTGAGCTGGAAACGACTCTTGTGATGGAATTTAGGATGAAACAACTTTAGTTATGCCAGAACCCACATGCTTTTCCTTTCCAACAGTATCCTTGCATGTGGAACCTGCAGAATATTGTTGAATCTATTTGACCTGTTGATGCCAAGCTCGCGTCTCTGACGTTATAACCAATTTTACTTACCTCCTGATTAGCATGATTTATTCGGCTTTGCCTTGCTGCATCTGAATTATTCCCTCTCTCACCTTGATTACTTGTTTCCCCTCCGTGCAAGGGGTCCCAGCGCTCACCTTTTCGAGAACTATCAGGATCTTCCGGCCACCTAGGAGGAACTTCGGGTAGGGTACCTGGAACATTCCCTCTCTTATCTTGATAGTTTTTTAGCTCATGGTCCAGTAGTTGGCATCCTTGAACCAAGTTGTGTGGTTTTACATCTCTCTGTCTTGCAGCTCTAAGCATCTCTTGCCCACCTTCCTGAGCCGGATCTTGCTCAATGTGCCAAGCATCTGTCTGCGCTTTCGTTCCACTCGTCGCCGCTGCTTGGGTCTTGCCATCGCTTCTTTCTGCTACAAAGAAGTTCTGTTCTTTCTCTGCGTTGAACTTTCCCTGTAACCCATCTGTTAAAAGAATAGAATGTTTCTGACCTTCGGTAGTTCTCCATATTCTCAAGTCAATTGGAAACAGACCGGTTCCGCTCCACTTTCGCAGCTGCTCTACTGAAAAGGGTCCTTGAACAGTTCCAGAAGGGTCCACATAGTGCCATAATTTTTCATGTTCGACTCCATGATTCACTGCAACTGTGGGAACGGCTGTCGAAGGGACCGCTCCATGATGCCTTGTGGTGTTGAAAGTGTTGCTCGAATTAGGTACACCCTCACCCTCAAAAGAGTTGATCTTGTCTTGCTCTGCTACCACCCTAGCGTCCTTTTTGGGACCCCATGGATAGGCAGTTCCTTCATTTGTCCTCCTTCGTGGATCCTCCATGGCATTGCCACCTCCCGAAACTTTCTCCCGCGGCGATCGTTTGTCTCGATCGTCACCCCAGCGAGGCTTTGCTTCTTCAACTCGACTCTTGTGGTCAGGTGCAAACGACGGCTTTGCAGCACACTGTCGGTACGCTTCATTCCAACTTGCAACTCTTTTGTTGATCTCCTCCTCCCTTGCGCTTGATGGCAACTTAGTGATCCTATGTCTTTCTTTCTCTACGAGGTTAGCAGATTGTTTATTGTCTTCCATGCAGGTTCCTCCCCAGCTCAACCTTTTCGAACAGGAGTCCGAGCCAATGTGTTGAGGATGCCTTGCACTTGTACAGAATGTATCTACAGCCACCAAGTATTATCGTTTTGCAAAAACCTCATTAGATGTTCTCTTCGCTTTCTTCCCATGTCAAAGCATACTTTAAGAGGACGTTGCACCTAGCCTTTCGAATGAATGCATATATATATATATATATATATAAAAGGAGGAAGTCGAAAGTACGCAATGAATACCTGAGAGTGAAGCATCTTCCCCATTTTCATCAGATTCGTAGCTTGGATCCATGTGCGGATCTGCAGCTATATCAGGTCTAGCCTTCACCTTTTCATCTTGAAACGTAGAATTGTTTAGCTCTTGTAGTCTTTCCACACACTCCCTCAATGTGAAGAATAAAATCTAGTCAAGGATTGGAGTTGGAGGCTATTCAATTCAACAGACTCTTGATTTTGGGTCAAACAGGGATGTTATTATTTTCATATGAAAGACGTCAATGAATTACATTCTATACTCCAGAAGAATAGTATCCATTCATTTGGGTACAAATCTTCATTCTCTTTCAATGTCACTGTAATTTGTAGTTTGTACATGTCAATGAATTCTGGTTTATTTACAGAATGTTATGGGCAAAAGACAAATGAGCTCACATATCTTATGAACAGAGAAATTTATGAACAAGGGAAATTTATTTCATGATAATTATCAAAAGTTTTAACTTTAGGGACTTGTATATTCAAAATGTCACACTGTAAATTATATATACATTTTGATAATTTCACCCTTCAATTCATTAAAATGTGAATAAAATCACCTAAAATTTTGCTTCTATGGAAAAGAAACTAAGATGAAAACCAATCTCAGTTCACAACAATAACTGATAATCTCAAGAGAAGTTTATAAATGAATAGAAAGGATATTCTTTTTTTCGACCTTTTTCACTGGCTCTATCCCTCAAGTTGATCAAACGTTGCCTTTCGGTCTCAATCCACTGTCACACACAGTATTTGAAACTCAATCACAAGGTTATTCTGAATATATGGATAAGATGCTTTCAAGTATTCAATTATGAACAGTAAGTCTTAATTTCTCATGTGCAAATACAAAAAAATAAAATAAAATAAATGATGATAAAATTATACATCATTAAATTTCTCGTTTTGTAAAGATATTGCCTTTTTTTCCAATTCACCCTGCAATATAACAAAAGATATTGATCAGCCACATAGATTTGATTGATTTAAAAACTCATTTTTAGCTATAAGCTAAATTTTAGCCATATATACATGAATATATCTATCTATCTTTATATATATATATATATATATATGATTAGCGGTGAAAAAATTCATACAACTGTGATTGTTTTCAAAAATCCACATTTGATGTTTAAACGCAATCTTGCACATTCCTCCTGTTTTTGACAAACACATTTTTAGAGTGAGTGGATACTATTACTTCCACCTGTATTCATAATAACTTAATAATTTATAATTATCTGGTATGTGTCACATGATTTTTCTAATACAAAAATTATTTACATAATTATTTGAAGGGTTGTATTTCAAAAGTATGTATCTCATGTGAATATCTTCTTACATGTAAGATTCAAGTAAGAAAATAAATATACAACAGCAATTCAACCATTAATACGTAAAATTATCAAATTATAACATTATGAAAATCACACACACACACACACACATACATATATATAAATATATATATGTATGTATAACTTATAACTTATTTCAAGTATTAGATTCGGCACCTCTGTAAAATCTTGATTTGATACCACTTCAATAGTGATGGACTCCTTTTTTTGAAGATTCAAAATAGATAATGTTACATTTGTCATTGTTGTTCCCGCTAAGTAAGATTCTTTTTGTACACCAGTTCCTATACTGACACAAACAATGTAAGTTCAAAATTGAATCATCAACTTTTGCAATACTTTTAAAACTAGTAATATTTTTTCAAAACAGAAACTGAATGATGATTATTGTATTACCTGTAACTAAGACAAGTCTATAACTTGTGCCCATTTTGGGATTTCCTTGAATGCGTATTTTGACAAAAGTACCAATAACTTTACTTTCAAAATTAGGGTTTGGAAGAAATTCTTCAAGCAAGGATCGTCGTAAGTAAATTAAACTGATATTTTTGTATGTAATAGCTGCATATTCATTACTGCGAGGTCTTTGCATATTCTCAATTTTTTTGGGACATTTTTTCTTATTCTTCAATAAACCAAGTTTAAGTTTTTCTTGACTCAAAGTAGATGCTAGTGAGTCTTCTATTTTGGCTTTGTCAACATACATTGTTGCTTTAGGTTGGGGTTTTAAGACAATTTTGGTTGGAAAATGTTTGTTGAGTAGTTTGAACATCTCAAATTGACCAACTGAATCTTTCTCAAATATAAGACGAAGTTGTTGATCACAAATAATCTCATTCATCTTTTTAGGATTTTGGAGTTTGTTTTGTTTGATGTATATCCAAAGTAACTTATGAATTGCAAATCTTGAAAGAGGTTTCATAACATCTTCTTTCATGTTTTTCAAAAAAGCCTTTAATTCTCTTGATGCCCAATCTTCAATCTTAGAAGGAATGGCTTTCCAACAATCATCTTTGTTTTCATGAGGAATTTGATTTGGTGGAATTTCAACGATTGTTTCAACTTGAACATTTTCATCTTTGATTCTTTCAATTTCTATGGAGGAGTTTTTTACTCTTTTATTCAGCTCCTCACTTTCATTGTCATTTTCTGCTTCACTGTTTTCTTCAATGGAATTATCAAAATTGTGAGAATCTTGAGAGTTATTGTCAGATTCACCATTGTTGACAACTATAGATTGTTCTACGTTATGAACATAAGTCCCTCTTAATGAAGGTTTATCTTTATTGAAGATAGGAAGTGTGATGTCGAGGTTCCTTTTGAGGTCAAGCCAATAATCTTTGAATAAGTATTCATAAGTTTCTTTGTCTTCAAAATCCACTTGCTCCTACACAAACAATGTTTAAAATGAAATTAAAACACAAAATATTAAACAGTGCATGTGTATGAATATGTTAGAATTTGTTTTTATGGAAGTATACATAACATGATTGATTCGTTGAATTGAATAAAACTTTATATATATATATATATATATATATATATAAATCATCAATTTTTAACCTGGTAATAATTTTGTTAAACATTGATTGTTTTAGGCTATTTAAAGAGCAGGTTAATGTCATACCCCATCATTGTTACTTGTTTCATTTTGTTCAATCATGCTTACAATTGGCAAGCATTCTTCACACAATCCTTTTTGTTTTTTCAGTGTGAAAAATTTAGATTTTTTAACACAATTGTTACAATATGTTGTAGGACATGTGTAGCACTGATAATTTCCACGTTTTTGGCAGCTTGAGCAAAAATGCCAACCTACATGTGTTACCACAAAATCATTCAACTACAAATTCAAAACATATGGTAAAGAAAGGATGAAATACATATATATATATATATATATATATATATAATTAGGGTATCTTCAATTTAAAATCGAGTAAATAAAAAAACAGAAAACAAAATACCGCAGAACCAAGCTCCTTTTTGTATAAAAAATGCTTCATCACGACCAGTGCATCCCAAATGGTATGCTTTTGGACACAATCTGAACACATACTTGAATTTCAATTTTATCACATAGCAATGTATTCTAATTTTTATCAACGTATTAAATGAAAACATATAAACCATACAATATCTTCATATTGATTATTATTTAAATAATCAAGTTAATGTCAAGACAGATATTATACACAAATGATATTAAAGTATCTAAATATTTGTAAAATTTCAAGCACTGTATGAGTAAATCAATTTCACCTGCAATCACAGAGCACTAAATCACCACCATCAAAGCATATAAAACACACGTCTTCTTCATTCTTTCTTTTCATTGTTGTTGCTTGTTCAAGCTTACTACGTTTTTTAGGACTTTCAGAGAAATCGCTTTGAGTAATACGTTTCTTATCATTTGTGGTTTCACTTACAACTTCACGTCTTTCTTTCAATATTTCACTTTGATCATTAATATTCAATTGGAGTTCTTTGCTTCTTTCAAACTCTTCAAAGAGTTCCATTTCTTGCTCCAACTCTGTCTTATTATGCAAATCCATTTTGGTTTTGCCTCAACTTTGATTGTTTGTTTCACATTCAACAAAAGAAAAGTTGTGATCTGCTACAATGGGATATGTATTGCTCTTTTTCTACACAACATTGCCTATTTTATCCATTTGATGGCATCTCTTTTAAAATCAATGACGATGGACGTATTTCATAGAGATAAAATTTCATTCTCAACACTTAAAGTCTCCTCTTCAACAAATTTTCATTGACCTACTTTGTTACTTGTACTTTTGATGTTTTAAAAATATGCACTATAGCTATCAATTGTTATATTTGCAACATCTTCAATAGGTGTAATAGTCTTGTTAGTCATTGAATGTGCGTAGATAACCTCAAAGTGATTTTATGTCTCTTAATCATTGTTCTTCATAAATTCTAAAATTAGAATCAAAAGAAGAATTTAATCATACTCTGGTTATTGGGTTTTTAGGAAGTAAACTTAACAGAGTCAGTTTAATTACTACTTTATCAGTGAGGTTATGTATGTAAGTACTAGATACATATCTTAGAAGTTCAGATCATAACTTTTGAAAAAATACTACAATTTCTTTTGTTATTGGAACATTCATTTTTTATGTGAAAGTGTTCTATTCTGCATCTGAAATTGATCAAATCAACAGATTTTGAAATATTTGATTTGATCTCAGATTTTAATGTAAATATTTTTAAACAGGACAAATCACGAAATTTGTTAAATCATAATGTTTTGAACATCAACTATGATTTTTCAATGAGCAGTTAACAAAATTTGTTGTAATAGATCCTATTACTTTAATTATAGACAATTGAAATCAAGCAGTAAAATTGTTTTAATATTCCCTTCTGAGCACGCACATTATGTTTGTAATTAAATGTTGCAATCACAAAAAATAATGAGAATTGAATATTTTCATTCTGATCACAAAAATTTACAACCCTAAATTACTTGTATAAACTCAAAAACACAAGAATGAACCATTTGATGATGAAATGATTATAATAAACGTATACAAGAATTAAAATGTAATTTTGAAGAGTCAAGAAGCTTTGCAAGAAGACCCAAAAAGAATTTAAATACACTTCAAGAAAATTTTGCTTTTGAATTTTACCTAACAAAAAATATATTCTTGGGGCATCACTTTCTAATTTTCTTATTGAAATACACTTCAAGTTTTTATTTCACATTGAAACATGCCTAATTTAAAGATATTCTTGCGTTTTTATTATTAATTAGGAATACGTACATCTAATATATAAAAAAATTGAACCATGCACAGAACTGTACTTCAAAAAAAGAAAAAAGAAAAAGAAAAAAAGGCACTCCAACCTCGAACTTTTTTCAAATTTAGGAGTTAATAAAACTTCGTAATTACATAATTCCTCTTTGATCTTTATGCCAATGTATTTTTCATTAAAATATACGTACATGAATTTTCAATAAAAAAGAAAATATCCACGACAAATATAAATTATGTTGATATAATGATTCAACTTCTCAGATCATTGTATACAATTATTGATTTCATAAAAGTAGTTAATTAGCTAAGTTCAGTAGTGTACAAAAACCTATTTTGTTTTTTGTAAATCATCAAATATTAGTATGATCCCTCATAACTAGTTTTTTTGAGAGTTTGGTTATATCTTCCTATTAAAAACGGTAGTTTTCATTCTATTATTTTATATGTGATGTTACATTCTCATATCTTGCCAAAGCAGCTGTTGTAGTATGCAAAGATTTCTTTGACAACATCCAAAGGTTGGTGCATCTTTTCATTTTTAAAATTTATCCTTTATTTAAATTACTTCAGATCTCATATTAAATGAAAAAATAATCCAATTATTTCATAGTTTTTATTAAATTATATACGTAATTATGTAAATAGTAGAACATAGAAAAACAATTAAAATTCCTTTGTTCTTTAATTTGCACCTAAATAGATGGAGTAAATATGTTTCTTACTGTATTTGTCAATATGTGATAAGAATATATGCACATATGTATATATATGTATATATATATATATATATATATAATAATCAAAGACAACTAGCTTGTTTTCAAAGATTTTTGCACATGATCATATAACTTAAAGTGTCAAATTGTGATAATTATATTTACTGAAATTAGATTTAAATGCGTTTTTAAAAATTAAAACTTAAATATCTTAATTCAAATTGAAAAAATAATTATTGTGAAATTAAACACTAATTAGGTGGTTAAATATAAAAATAAATAAAAATAATATACATATATACATATTAATGAAAAAGAAGATAATTTAAGTGATGAGTTTCTAAGAGACATGGTATGTTTAAAGAATAATAGAAAAAAATGTTCAATTAAAATTTAATGTATAGTAATATGTAAAAAAACTTGTGGTATATTTAAGTATGCATGAGAAAAATATTACACATAAAAGTTATAATATGATTTGACATAAACTTTCTAAATTGGCATGATGTATAAGGTTTTAAACTCATTCAATCAAAAGAATAGTACATGTTTAACAATTACACAATTCAAGTCCATTCTCTATTTAGAAATTACAAATTGTCTTGTTTAATATAAATAGTTAATTAATATAATTAAATAAAACAAGTAAATTGAAAGAACTACTCACATTATGTTATATTAAGAACATATATATGATGTTGCTAATGCCACCACAATTTTCACTATTGCTACCACAAATTTTACTAGTGCCACTGTAGTTTTTACTACTACCATTGTAATCCACCATCCACTTAAAAAATGTTTTTAATTTTTTTTATTCCACTTTGAAAAAATAACAACTAATTTTTTTTTATCACACAACTAATTTGAAAGTTTAGAAAAAAAAAAGAAAAAAAAGAAAAAAAAAGAAGAGAAGAGAGGTTTGAAAGATAATGAACAAAGATGGCATACAATGAATAAGGGTTTGTGGAGGCATTAACAACACCTTATAAATGTATATACATTTATATAGATATAGATACATAGTAATAAAGAAAAGAAATGAAAAAGCAAAAAACAAAAATAATTGATCAACTATAAATTTTACTATTGGATCTTACTATACAATAATGAAATCTATTATTACAATATATTGAAGTTAGAAAAAAGGCTTATTTGCAAGCATAATTACCAAGTATTTTCTCCTATTACTTACATAGAGTCCAATGTATTTCTTTTCTTCTTTAAAATGCTATATATATATATATATATATATATATGCACATGCCTTATATAAAAAATCAATCTACATGTGTGATTGACTTTGTAGAGTCAACACTTAAAAATAAATTTTTGTATGACATCATGAAAAAAAAAAATTAAAATAAAATAAAATGTGACCTACAAATGTCTTTTTTGGGTAATTATTTTTGAACTTTTTAAATTTACCTTCCACCAAACTCATGCTTTTAAACTGTAGGGTGTTATAAATTTATAAGATTGTCCACGTTGTTCCACAATATTGACAAATAAAATTCACATATTTATAGTTTTTTTTAAATATAAATAAAATAATTAAAAAAATGAGAAAAAAAACCCCACAAAATCACTTACACATTAAAACAAATTAAAACATTTTATAAAAAATATTAGAAAAGGTAAACATACATAAAAATATCTCACTATTACTTCAAAACACGTACCAAACAGCAAAAAAGAAAAAAGAAAAAAGAAAAAAAAAAAAAACAGAGTAATTAATCGAGTCAAAACTTAAGAAATCAACCAAAACCACAAATTCCTAAAAGTCCCAAAATCCTAAACCCTAAACCGCCGGAGATCAAGGGAAAGTTCGTGGGGGCAGCCCGTTCGCAGAGCGGGCGAGTGGCCATCCCCCTAAATTTATAGGTAGCTAGGCATCCGTAGGGATACCGCCCCCTTCAAGTAGCATGGATGAATATCATCCATCCCTTCATTGATGATTCACGCGTTCGAATCCACCTGACTCGACCGCGCGTCGGCGGCAAGATGGAGCGGCGACGCGACGTGAGAGTATGCAGCGGCGCTGAGGGTTGGGAGATACAAAGGCGAAGGACAAAGAGGACGCCACACGGAGGCGCGCGGCACGACGCCGAGTGCGCCGTTGTCGCGTTGCGCTGCGAAGGAAGGCTCTGTATTATGTGCGACTCGACCCACGTTTCCGTTTCTTCAGATAACTCGTTTTGTTACCCTGTCACGTGATTAAACCGCAAAATTACTGCATGCGGAGCCTCGGATGTTGGAGGTTAGGCATAAAGGATTCGGGCCTGATCATGCACATTTCCATTGTCCACCTCTGCGCCACTGCATTCGCCTCTCCTCCTCGCCCTCGTGCTTCGTCGAAAGCTGTGGAAGATTTGCCAAGCGGATTTGAGGGCATTTGCCAAGCGGTTGATGAGACAGGGGGGGTGATCAATCAGGAAATTTCGGCGCAGTTGAGTTTCGAAGGAAAGTGTCGCGAGTGTCGATTGATAGGTCGCGATTAGAGTTAGTTGATTGGATATACGATGCTTGAGCTGGGAAGTTCGGTGTGATGATTGGATTGGCGAACGATCGACTCTGAGATTGGGCTGAATCCTAGACTAGCGGGCGGGGACGTTTCTAATTAAGTGATCTGAATTCGGTGAGGTTGAATTTGAAGTTGGACGTGACAAACTTTCTACGCGATTTTTCTTTTCGATCTCGTCAGCATTGCTGAAACTTCGTCGACAAGAGTTTGACAGGATCGTGACGCCGACAAATTCTCAATGTCTGAACGGAATCGGAGGAGCGATACTTCCTCATCGCAGTACCGAGGCGTAAGAATGCGGCGATGGGGGAAGTGGGTGTCTGAAATCAGAGATCCGATTATGAAGAAGCGCATTTGGCTCGGCAGTTTCAGAACCGAAGCCGAGGCCGCTCACGCCTTTGACGCTGCAGCTCTAATGTGCTTGCGCAATCCCATGTCTCAGCTCAATTTCCCCCACTACTCCTACATCATTCCTTCGGGCTCTGCGGGCTGCTTCTCCACACGTGAAATTCAGGCCGCGGCTGCAGCCACTGCGGCCGCTTCCGCTGGGCGATCGTTTTCGTATAATGGTTTTACGCAATCGTCCACTTCGGCGTCCTCCGACAGCGACGACGCGCAGGAAATAGAAGACATCACATACGATGAACACCAAAGATACACCCATCCATCGGTCCCGTCTTACTCGTGCTCTTCGTACGCCAGAAGCTGGTCAAATTTCGACGAGGATATCGATTTGGTGTCCGAAATGGCGCGCGGAATGCTAATGCAACCGCCAGCGCCCGATGACGACGACGACGGCGATTACAATTACCCCGGGCCACTTTACCTGTGGAATTAATCGGTTCCGGTTTCCTCCTCTAGATCACTGCAGAAATTCCACAACAAATTTTGACCCATGGGAATTTAGCAGGCAGAGATTAAACCAGTATCGTGTAAAGCAGCATGCTGCTTTGATTGTATAGCATAGTCAAGTTAGCGAAAGAGAGTGAAATCCAGCAATGCAACAGGTGTGCTTGTGGTTTGTAAAGTAGGGAATTTGGATTGTAACCCGGTGTCGTGGACGTTTTTCCAAGACACTGTGCGTTTGAAACACGTTCTCGTTTCAACGAATTTTGTGACAACCCACACACCCATCCATCATGGTTCCTTCTATGCATGATTGCGCCACACATGTAGGCAAAAGAATTTCAACAGGCTTAACTCTCGCCCAATGCAGCAGGAAACAAGGTTTTGATGGCACTCTTATCTTCGCTATGTCATGAACTTTCCAACCCCCTTTCGAATCTCACATCCATCGAGAACCCACATTCGCGGTGCTATCACAGCCTCGTACCGACGTACCGACACCGCTGCGAAACCAGCATTTCATTCAAGCTTTTGCAACAACAGTGTTTCGTAGGTTTCAACTGTCAGCAGGAGAGGATTCCGAGTTCACCGATTCTGCAGATTTTCGTCCCCACGAAGATGCTTTTATCACCAACTTCCATCTCGGGTGCGTGGTGGTTGAATCTTCGAGGTGAATTTCCACATGTGCTGATTTGGGTTACCGGATTTCGAGGCAGGTACGACCCACGTTTCTCGAATCTCGGAGCCTTGAGCTGGACCCCGCGTAGAATAAAGCATCTTCGGCTATTTCTTCGCGAATGCCGAATCCAGTGTGACCACCTGGCCCACATTGTCAGAAAAAACACATGTACGGTGGTGACCTCGGGCTCGAGGGCCATTCTGTTTTCATCTCTCCTTTCCTTCGCTGCATGACCGTGTGCAGGTGTCGATCGCTTCAGCAACTCTCACAAACCTCCAAAACAAACTGAAATTCCCCAAAACACTTACACGAGGTTACTTCTCCAACCCTGCTTTGGAATCGAGACCACGAAGAAGTGAAACTCCGTGAGAACCGATCGAGATGCCTCCTTGTTTATAATTCTCCAGCAGGCTCGGTGTCCCATCGCAGATGACGCCTTCTTGTTTCCTCCGTTGCGAGGTGTTTGACATCGAGTTCGATTGATCCGAAATTAGGGTTTAGCTTGACGTGGACCTTGCTGCATGATCTGGATGGGATAATTTGGCAAGGGTCTGAAGGATTAAGTCCACCAGATTCCACATGCTTGGCCCTTTCAGAACTTCTTTTATTTTTTATTTTTTATTTTTTTGGGAATCTCATGGAATTCCTATTTTAAGACGCTCAAGTTCTATCACTGATTGCTGGGTGTTTCTAGATTATCTGCTTCCAATCAAGGGATAATGCCATGTTTTTATAAGCAGCAGCTTTTGTAACCGTTGGAGTTTATTTGACGATGATGATGAAAGTGGTGTGCAACAAATGGTAAGCAATACGTATATTGAATTATTATAATTAATTAAAAGAGAGGCATTAAGTCCTTTACATATAGAGAGAGTTTAATCTAATTAGGTTTATAGATGAGGTAAAGCTTTTGTGAGGATGTTTGTCTACATAGTATCATTGGAAGTAAATAAGAGGTTGACCTCCATTTTACTAACTTTCATTTGTAAAAACTAATATCTTGGTTTAATATGTATGGATTTGTTATAGAATTTAGGATTTTGTATAAAGATAATGTATGATTGATTATTACAATACATAATAGTAGAAACTAAAATAGAAAACCTAATTTTAAGAAGAAAACAATTTAGTATCTGAGTTAATTTTTAGTTGTAGTTGTTGCTACAATGTACTTTAATTGTGTAGAAGGATAATATTACAATGAGTTGATTCTTTGCATTTCAAGAGATTGGTCCATTTTCATGACTAAAATAATAACTTGTAATAAAATGTTAAAAATCAACATCCTCTTCTCTTGTAATTTGCAATTGACCAACCTTATAGAAAGAAGACTATAGAATATAAAAATAAAACATGTCTATATAAAAAAATCAATTCATTAGAGTGTATTGAAGATATTAAAAAAATATTTTAATACCAAATTAATATTAAAGTCAAAGATTATATATAATTTAAATAAAAAATATTTATTAAATTAAATGAAGTTTAATGCAAATAATTAAATAATAGAAACCATCATTAGTTTTAGCATTAAAATCTTTTTTTATAAAGAATAAATTATTTGAAATTTAAAATATCATAAATTTAAAATATTTATTTCTAGCATCAAAAAAAAAAAAATCAACCAATTTACATAAATTCATATTAAATTTGTTTAAAATATTGTAAATATATTCAAATTGAATTGAGATAAATATTTTATTAATTTTAATTTTTAAAATCTAAATGACTATAATAGAACTACTCTTGTTTTTATTAGTCATCATAAAATCATGAGATAATAGATATTTATTTCAATTTATAGAAAATAAACTAATAAAAGTTAATATAAGATTATTGATTTAGAGTTCTAAAATTACATAATTTTATAAATTATTTTAAAATAAATATTTATTAAAACAATACCATACATATAAGACTTATGTAGATGTATATGATAATCTCAAAAGATGTTATACTTTGCATTATATTCTTAGTTGATTAATAATTTTAGATTAGTTTTTTTTTCTTATTTATTATTATTTTAATAATTTTTATTTTTTTTTGTTTCATTGTCTTTTTATTTTTTATGATGTTAACTACAAAAAAGAACAATGAGTTTATTTATTTTATATTTATATGAATCATGAATGTTTGCCAAGGCTAGCAAAACACAAAGACAAGTAATTTTTGTATGACTATATAGAAGATTTTTGTACAATCTACTCCAACTTAATACTAAAACTTCAAACAAATATTTATATTTTGAAGCCTTTTAGAGAGTGATTAATATTCTACTTTTGGAAAAACAACCATTGAATTTTGATTATTATATGATTTTTTTAATTAATATATATATCATATATATATATGTGTGTGTGTGTGTAAAATAAAAAAATATTTTCAATCATCATAACTTGTTGTCAATCAAGTATCTTGAGACTTAAGAATGCATTATTGACAATGACTTCTTAAGTTGGGTGATAAAGAAGAAAACAAATAAAATTCTTCTCATGTAAATAATGTTGTTGCCAATTGTTCTTGTTGTAACATACAATTTTTTTCTATTTTTATCTAAGGTTATAAAATATACTAATATGATATTATAAGTTATTGATAGCTTAAAAGTTGTTGAATTTTATAGAAGTAAATTCACCTCCATTCTTAAAATATGTGACAATGATTTTTATATATATAATTAATCCTTAGTAAGTATTTCATTTCATTAAAAAATATCAAATAAAAATTTATTTTATTTAAAAAATAAATATAAGTATAATAAAAATAGCTTCTAATGCATATATGAATATAATATGATTTATCTAAAGACTCACTTTGCATAAGGCTATAAAGATCAATGTAAAAAAATAAAGCTCACTTTCTTTTGTAAATAAATTATACAAATAAGAAGTTTTGCGATACTTTCTAAATATGAATTCTTTAAAAAAAAGATGTATTATCAAAATAAAAAAGAAGATAGACTTGCAACTACTTGGTTGGCTTGTACAATATTTAGTAAAGCTAGCTTTAAGTATTTTACATAATATACTATTTGACAATAGTAATATCTTAATATTTTACTAATAAAAAAATTATTTTTTGTAAAAAAAATACAAACTATTTTTAAATTTATATAAGATTTTTTTTTTAATATTTAGTAAATATTTTTTGATCAAAATAATTGATGGTTAGAAGTATATGTTTATTTTCAATAATATAACAATAGTTATTTATAACAAGTTTTAAGCTAATAAAAAAAATATAAAACACTTTTGTGATCAACAATGGTTGAGTGGCAAAAAGATTAAAAAAAATAAATTGATTCAAATAAAAAAAGTTGATAAACATTACTATCTTACATATAAATAAATTTCTAATTTTCTATAATAATATAATTTAAAATAAGATCTTAAAAAGAGACATGTATTGGCTTGCATTAAAATCCAAAAACCATTGAGATGTAGTATCTTCTGAAGTAGTTGTAAATAAATAAAGTTATCTTTTAAGGTGGCTATATTGGCTTATTATCTTAGCTTTTGGTTTCACTTATTCTTTATACATTTATAAGAGTTATGACCTTTCTTATAAAATCAACAACATATGATAATTTGGATACTAAAAGAAAGTTGGAATATCATTATTAAGATTATTTCTTCTCTATTAAAAATGTTATTTTATAATACATTAAAAAATTATGTAAAGAAATATAATTAATAATAAATCCTTAAGATATTACAAATGAGTTAAATGATTCAAGTAGAACAATTAATAATAAGGTTGTACATTAGTAAATTTTACAACTTATAGTAGCAACTTTTAGCGACGTTATTTGTTAGTTTTCTAAAAACATAATTTCAGCATTATATATATATATATATATATATATATAGATTTATAAATAAATTTATTATAAATAAAAATTTATGATCTCACATTAAAATAATTATATATTTGAACAAGCTCCTTTGTACTTGCTTAGAAATAGCAAGGGATATTAAAAAATTAATTGGTTTTCATTGCATTAAAATATTATGTTATATTTGAATATTTAGTCTTCTAATATCTAAGCTATTTGAATTAAAGATTTCTTTTTGGACTAAATTTACTGTTTTTCTATCTATTATATGTAATAAGTTCAACTTGATTAAAAATATTTAATATTCTAAGTTGCATGATTTTTAGATGTTATTCAAATAATAATGGAGGCATAGAATATAGGTGAAGATACAGTAGTAGAGGATTTTAATATCAAACTTTATATATCAACTGATCTTATGTTTCTATAATTAAATATATTTTGATTTTATTTTGAAAATAATTGTTTATTTTAAACTATTAATAGTAGGTACAATAAATAATAAATAGAATATTTACTATGTTATCATTTTGAAATTAATTTAATTATATTTAATATAAGAAGTTGAATAGTTATAATTACTTTTAATTTGATAAGTGTTTCTTTAGACAAAGAACTATACTTGTTGAATACCTTATCATGCTAATTAAAACAAGACTATTTAGGACTTATAATATCAATTAAACTAAGATATACTTACAACAATCAAAAATATGTTCAATTTTTTTTTATACAATCCTATCTTTGTCAATTCTTATATGAATA